CCAAGGTTGCAAAAGTCTTATCTATAGTCTGGGCTTCAAGCCAAGTCTTTTTTAGGCAATAACAGGTTGTAATATCAGGTTTAGCCACAAGATGTCACCCATACTGTTTAAGATTTTTTTTAAGTCCAAACTTTTTTTAATCTTTTTTCCAATGTTACTTCTTTTTTTTAAGTAAAAACCCATATATTCAATAAGAAAAAGAAATCTCTTTTTTTGAAAGATTTTATTGAATTTTATAGGATTGGGGATAGAATAGGATCGGGATAAGGATTAAGGTTTAGGGTGGGGTTGGGATCAGGGTTGGGGTTATCCCCCAATAACATTTTCAATCTTTAGCAAACAGACTATTGTCTGGGTACATATGTTAACAATAGTTGATATAGTAATAAGTAACTATAATAAGTGTAATAAATGATAATCATAAACAGTATGTTAGTTAATGCATATCATTCTTACNATTCTTACTAATATATATTCAAAATAACATAACACATCCATTTCTCACTAGTTCGTTTTCCTAACCATTGGTAAAAATTATCCCATGTTCTAATCTAAAGTAAACTGAATCTTCTTTCTCTTTAATCTCTAAAATCAATCTATCCATTTCTGCACATTCTAAAATTTTCTTAATTAAAACCTCTTCAGTTGGTAAGTTTTCATTTTTCCAATATTGGGCAAATACTATTCTCGCTGCCATCAGTATATGCAATATAAAATATTCATTCTCCTTCTCATAATTAGGTCCTAATATTCCTAACAAAAACAGTTCTGGTTTAAATTCTTTCTTTTAATCATTTTTTCCCAACCATGTATGTATCTTAACCCAAAATTTACAGCCATGGTTTGCCTCAGTACATAACCACTGGCTGCCCATTTTCAAGGGTTGTTTCCTGCTTTAGCTCTTAGTTCAGTTCATCCAGGTTAGTGATGTCCAATTGAGGTTAGCCAGTATGCAAGCCAGGCTATTACATTTTCTTAAATTGCACATAGTGAGCCCTAGGACTCCGAATCTGAGTCCACCAATGCAAGATATTCAGGGCTTCAGTTTGGAGATCTCTTTCCTGCTACTTCCCTAGTCAGGGCATATGAATTGCAAATTGCCTGAGAGGGGCTGGTTCCCTCCCCCTTGGAATTTGCTGGAAGTTGTTCCTACAAAGTTTTAATGACACAGGGCAAGAATCAGGCTGGAGCTTTACTGAAGGTAGGTGGAGGGGAAAGACTCAGTGTGATTATGAATGATGTGTGTACAGCTACTAATACAAACAGGGAATACAAATATTCTGGATAAATTTTCCTCCCACCAGACAGAAATCCAAGATGTTCAATACTTGCTGTGCCAACTATTCCCAAATGCCATCACTCCATGAATCCATTCAACTGGTTTATTACAATACAAATGGGGCAAGAAAGAAAACCTTACAATGAGTTTCCACCCTCCCCCCCCATAGTCTTCCTAATTTTCTTCTGAGGCTTCACGTGGGGACCAATGGCTCCAGGACTCTTTCCTTCCTCTGCAGCTGTCACAGGCATCTGGGGGAATGGTAAGACCTGGGAAGATCTGTTCCACTCAGGTTGCATGGTGGCTTTTTAGTGGATGGCTGGATCCAAAACCCAATTCCGTGGCTCAGATGGACGGAGGCAGCATCTGGGTCAGTGTGCTCTGCTTCTAAAGGCTGGGGGGGATCATCTGTGTAGGGCTGAAAGACATGAGAACAAGATTTCCTATCTCCTTTCTGGGTGGATTCTCCCAGAAGAGGCAGACAAAGGCATAGAGAACAGAGGCTAAGACAGGGGTGTCAAACTGCCAGCCCGGGGGCCGGACGCATCATCCCAGAAGCCGCACCCACCCCATTGCCGGCAATGGCAAAACCGTCCCGATACGTTGCATGACATCACGTGACATGGTGAGTTTGACATGTCTGGGCTAAGAAAAGGAGAAGTAGAATTGGGGAGGGTAGCTTGCAGGCAGAGTTTGAAAAGGCATTAATACTGCAGTGGTTAAACCGATAAGATGGGGACAACACAGATGAGGACAGAAGAGAGGCTGGATTCCGGTAAGAGAACAACAAAATGAAAGGTCTCACTTCCGAACTGAACATTCGTAACACGTTAGAGAGGACTTTAGGACTTGCAACTTGAAAAATGCTGGTCACGTTTCAGGAAAAAGGACAGACAGATAAAAACCCATTTATGACACATACAGTAAATGCAAGAGTGAAACTTTTTCCGGCAGATGAACTTAAAACATTCCCTCCTGCTAACTTTGGGCTGTTCTTAAAGAGTACAGAGAGAGAAAGGGGAAAAGGAAAAAAAAACCCCACATTTTTCTTCACTCTGTTGGCCAGACAACTTGTTTTAATTTCATTTTGAAAACAAATTTGTCTTCAGTCCAGCTGGACTTGTGAGGGAGCAGAAATCAAAACGCAACAGAAACGCAGCAGGAGCATAAAGATTCAGAGGGGACTAACCCCAGCTACAGAAGGAATGGTCGATTTGTTAAGACAACAAGAATGTTATTTCATATCTCCGCAATCAGAGATGCCATTCCTTGAGCCAAAACTCTCTATTTTCCTCACAATGTCCATTCCCTCTCTGACTTGGCCAAAGACCACGCGTTTCCCATCCAACCATTCAGTTTGCTCAGTGCAGATGAAGAACTGAGACCCATTTGTATTGGGACCAGCATTCACCATAGATAGAATGCCAGGGCCTGTGTGCTTGAGAATGAAGTTCTTATCGGCAAACTGCTCGCCGTAAATAGATTTACCGCCTGTTCCATTATGGCGGGTAAAGTCACCACCCTGACACATGAATCCAGGAATGACTCTGCGAAAGCATGATCACTGGACTAGAGGGAGCAAAATCCAACTGTGATTGGGAAAAGGGTATTCTCACTCACACACACAGGCATACACACGTTTCCTTTGCTCCCCTGGGCTTTAAAGTTAAAATTTAGAGGTACTCACCTTCACCTTTCCAAAGCAGCCCTTGAGCTCAAACCCCAAACTCCCTTTATTACCCTGGCTCCACATGGGCAGGGCCTGGGAAACCCATCCACAGACACAAGGGGTCTGCTGCTGGCAAGATGGGGCTTACCAGTCTCAGTCCATTGGAGAGGTAAGCTTGGAGTCCCATCTGGGATGCCAAATTGTTGAAGGAAAAGTCTTCATCATGGTTCAGTCCAAGTCAGTGGTTCTCAACCTTTTTAATGCCGCGACCCCAACCGGTTGTAAGTCGAGGACTAAACCGGTCGTAAGTCGAGGACTAAACCGGTCGTAAGTCGAGGACTACCCAACTGGTCGTAAGTCGAGGACTTTCCCTGCCCGGGAGTGCCGCGCATGCATGGTTCTGCCCGCTGCGCCGGCTGAGGCGTAGCTGGCAAGTGGCAGAGACGGAGCAGGCCGACCACCAGCTGGCCCAGCCCAAGGGAGGTAAGGCACCCGCCGGAAAAGGGGAAAAAAATGGCGGACAAAAAAAATGGCGGACAGCCTTGCTTGACCCCCATGAAATGGTCGATCGACCCCAAATGGGGTCCTGACCCACAGGTTGAGATCCACTGGTCCAAGTCAAGAATAAACAACATGGCGACTATCAAGCAGTGGCCACCCCGGTCCCTGCCTCACCTTGTCCTGCGACAATGGCACCCCCGCCCTGCCTCACTTTGCCTCCTGCCCACCATCCCACCTGCCAGAGGCCCCTTGGATCTCCCCCAACCCTGCCCAGCCCCCACAAGCGTCCCTCCCCATGAGCAACATCGAGCTGACCACGCTCATCTTGGCCACACCCACTGTCTGCCATGACCACTACAGCCATGCCCACCCAGTAGGCCACGCCCACCTGGCACCCAGCAATAAATAAGTGGGTTTTGGGTTGCAGTTTGGGCACTCGGTCTCTAAAAGGTTCGCCGTCGCTGGAGTAGAAGATCTCCACGGTCCCTTCTGACACTACGTCCTATGCTCTTCTGAACGCGCACAAAGGCCTCCGAATTGTCAGGTTAGTTCAGTAGTTTTACTTTCATCAATTAAAAAAAAAAAGGTTCTGAGGAAGCCTTTCCATGATTTCCAGCCAGCCGGGAGGAGGGTCCAAACATTCCTCCTTTTCCCCCCCTCTTGCCCAACCTTGAAATCCTGTTACCACCTCTGAACCTCTTGTTCTAAAAGCTCTCCAGGAGCACGTGTGAACGTTGCATCGAAGCTTCTGACCCCAAAGCGGCAGAAGAATGTTTATAAGACATTGAAATAAGGAATCTTACCCAGACCGTAACTTTGTCCATATTCTGTCTGAGCCTGGTGGGGAAGAAAAACAGGGTGGTGAAAAGGTGGCTGGGGAGTCTCTAGTTGGCAGGGATTCTGGGGGGGTGTGTGTCTCTGGTAACGCAGATTTCAAGTGGGGGAGAAGAGGCGGAGGTTCCCAAAACTGCAGGATGTCAGGTTATTTCCTCCTCCCCCTTCCTCTTCTCCCTCCCCTTACTCACCTCACTTCCCCTCGTCCTCCTCTTCCTACTCTCCCTCCTCTTGCCCCTCCCCTTCTACTCCCCTCCCCTTTTTCCCCTCCTACCCTCGCTCTCCTCCCCTCGTCCTCTTCCCCCTCCCCTCCCCCTATTCACTGCCCCTTTTCCTCTTCCCCCTCCCCATCCTCCCCTCGCTCTCCTCCCCTCGTTGCTCGTTGTCCTCTTCTCCCTCTCCCCTCCTCTTCCCCCTTCCCTCCCCTTTTTCAACCTCCCCTCCCCCTTCCCTCCAGAGGGTGGAGGGAAGCAGGTAGAGGAAACAAAGGGGAAGTAGAGCTGGGGGACCCCCTTTCATGGGGGGGCATTGCATGCACTCCACCCATTAACCTCCCTCCTCCCCCGGATTGCCTGTCCTAATATGAGGGTCTCTGCTGTCCCTCCCACCCACCCATTGGGTCTCCCAGAGAGAAGGAACCCCTTGCTCTCTACATGAGCAGAAAAAGCGGGCAGAAAAAGCACCGCCCTCGCCCAATATCACTCGTGTCATTTGATTCTACTCTATGACACGCCAATCCCCTACCCTGAGCACCTTATGCAGCGGGATGACGTAGTGTCTTCCTCTGTTCTCCGAAACGACTCTGTGCACCATCTCCATCAGCAACGAGACCTGCCTCTCCTGCTCGGCTCCCGCGGCCTTGTTGTTGAAGCCACAGAAGCGGTTCCCGCACCGCTGGATCAGCTCCTGCAGAATGCGGTTTTTGGAAGTTCGGACGTACTCCTGCAGGGATTCCCCTCCCAAATCCTCCTTGCAGGTGAACAGAATGATCGTGTGCCTGGCCGACTCGGCTCCAAAGATATCCCAGACATGCTTTGCAACTGTCACATCTTCGGCGGTGAAGCGTCCCACCTGGGTCACAAATATCAGGGCATGGGGGCCAGGCCGGGAGAGTTCTACACAAGCCCCGATCTCACGTCGCACAGTCTCATTGTGCTTTTTAGAATCGAAAATGTTGGGTGTGTCGACCACAGAGATCATCCTGTCCTGCCATCTTCCTTGACCCCTTTGGCACTTCAGGGTGGTGGTATTTGGCTCCAGGATGGACTTGAACACCGGCCGGCCGAGGATGGTGTTGCCCGTGGCGCTCTTCCCACCTCCGGACTTTCCCACCAGGATCAGCCGGAGATCGGCGTCCTCCCCTGTGAGTTTGGAAGACGACATTACAAAAAGGAATTGAGATATTTCTTGCAACATGTTGGGGTGTCATTGAGCAGGCTGGAAATGGGAACAACTTTGGAAAAGAGTCACCCCTGCCCAGAAGTGGTTCAGTGATGTTTTCATATGAATCTCTCGGAATTGCTAAAATGGGCTGCTCAGCCGTGCAGATTCTCAGAACGTGCAAATCCCACTTTAGCAGATGTCCGAATACAGCCACGGTGTCCATAATTCCTTCCTCCCTCCCTCCTTTCCTTCCTATCTCCTTCTTTCCTCCTCCCCATCTCCTTTCCTCCTTTTGTTTCTTTTTCTTCCTTCCTTCCATCCTCCATCCATCCATCATCCATCTCCTTCCTTCCTTTTTCTATTCATCCATCCTTCCCCTGGAAGTTGTGAATGCTCCAACGCTGGAAGTTTTTTTTTTTGTTTTTTTTTTAAAAAGAGACTAGCTAACCATTCGTCTGAAATGGTATAGGGCTTCCTGCCTGAGCAGGGGGTTGGACTAGAAGATCTCCAAGGTCCCTCCTGACACTATGTCCTCTGCTCTTCTGAATCGAAGCTTCTGACCCCAAAGTGGCAGAAGAACGTTTATAAGACATTGAAATAAGGAATCTTACCCCGACCATAACATTGTCCAAATCCTGTCTGATCCTGGTGGGGAAGAAAAACAGGGTGGTGAAAAGGAGGCTGGGGACTTGGATTCGGGGGGGGGGTCTCTGGTAACTCAGATTTCAAGTGGGGGAGAAGAGGCGGGGGTTCCCAAAACTGCAGGATGTCAGGTTATTTCCTTCTCCCCCTTCCTCCTCCTCCTCTTCCCCCTCCCCATCCTCCCCTCGCTCTCCTCCCCTCATCCTCATCCTCCTCTTCCCCCTCCCCTTGTCCTCCTCTACCTCCTCCCCTCCTCCCCTGCTCTTCCTCCTCCTCTTCCCCCTACCCCTCCTCCTCTTCCCCCTTCCTTCCCCTACTCCCCTCCTCATCCACCTCCTCCTCTTTCCCCTTCCCTCCCCTACTCCCCTCCTCATCCATCTCCCGATCCAGGGCCCAGCAAACTAGAGGCAACCCGACTACCGCAGCCCTCCCCCTGCCTCCACCGTTCTGTGCTCCACCTTGTACTCCTTGACCACAACTCCTGAGGCAACGATGCTGGGACTCACCCGGGCCACAGAGGTGACAGAAGATGCTGCGGTGGGAAGGGTCTTTATGGGTGGGCTCAGGTCACTGGTTTTACTACGGCCCAGCTTGCAACAAGCAGCGTACTTGAACTGGTACTCTGTGTTTGGAGGCAGATCTTTCAGCAGGAACGTCGCCCCGGCGTCCTTTGTCCTCACGGTCTTCCAGTTTTCTTCCCCTGAAATCTTGTATTCTACCAGGTAGCCGGAGATGGCAGCCCTCCCATATTCGGCGGGCTGAAACTTCAGCTGAACGCTGTTGTGTCTCAGTTCACTAATCTGCAAAGGGAGAGGTTGTGAGGGCAACTCAAAGTTCTTGCTGACCAGCTCTCCGTTTTCATAAAGGTATATTGAGGCTCCTGGTGTGTCCACATCTGGGAGTGAGGCCACGACAAAGCGGACCTTCTCATTCGATTGATTAACACTGAAAAAGTCTTGGATGGATTTGGCAGTTCGGCGAGCATTTTGGGTCCTTTCCTGGTCCTCAAACCAGGCCATGCCTTTCTTGACCTCTGGAGTGGACCTTGTTGACTTAGCTGATTCTTGTGAGAACTGCTCCTGAAGCCAGTCCTGTAAGCTCAACAGAAACGGCTCCCCTTCGTGCAAAGAAGTGAATATAAAGGAGACCACATATTCATTCTGAGGGTCGAGGACTATTTCTTCCAACTTGTTCTGAGATGAGATAACTTGTATATTATTTAGAATAGTCAGAAAAGATTTGACAAAGTTAATTTCTCTTTTCTTGGTGTCCAGAAATTCATGGAGTCTTTGGCTGTTGAAGGGCGACTGGTTGACAGATGTCAAGATGTCCACCAGGCTCCCTTCCTCCTGCCCTCCACCCCGGATGGAAGGCAACATTCTGGCCAGCTGTTTCTGGAACATCTGCCTGTGTTGCTTTAACAGATTCTTGAGCTGCTGGATCTTCTTCTTGATCTCAGGGAAGGTGTCACAAATGGGATCATTGGCTAGATCGTTACTTTGCATCTGGATTTCGTCGAGTTCCTCCAAGATGCTTTCAACATCAAAGATCAACGCTAGGCTGATCTCACGGACCATCTTAGCTGCTCTGGGGTCCAGCTTGGTCAGTGGGTAGAGCGAGACCCACACAGGAACAGCCTTCTCCCCATCTTTCCCTAACATTTTTGGCAGAGTCGCATAAATTGTCATGGCATCTGGGAAGGTCACTGGATTTTCCTCCAGAGAAAAGTCTCCATGGAACGTGCAACTGAACTTCAGAGCATTCTTTTTCTCTTCCTCGTTTAGCTTCATATCTGCTTGTCCTGTGACGGGTATCATCTTCTGGATTGTAACGTGGAGATTTCCTTCTATATTTTTTACCGTCTCCGTTGAAGAAACTTCTCGGTCGAACACAAAGAAAGCCTGGGCTCCGTAGAGGATGGCAGTGACCACGTGGGTGGCCGTGCCATGCTCAAAAACTTCTGGATAGGAGACATTCTGGATTCCGAGGTGGCTCATGGTCAGCTGCTCATACCTGGTGGTGGTTTTGTACTGAACAATGACTCTGGCCTGTTGCTTGGACTTCTTGGTGTCATGAAGATACTTGGCCGACCCCCCCACTTCAATCAGCCCCCCAAGGAAACTGCCCTTGAGGGATCCTGAGATGTCCAGGGCAGAGGTCTTGTCATCAATATTGTCAGATGCAATGATTTTAGTTGCTGTATTGGGCTGAGGCCTGGTGGTCAGGTCCTTCTGCAGAGAGCTGTAGTCCCAAAGGGTGACGCCTGCATGGAAGAGATGAAAACAGGGACCTGAATTGAACACGGTCTCCCGGAACACCTGCAGCTGGACAGAGGAGCTCCAGAGTGTTGGGACAATGGAGTCATAATTTCCCCTGGAGGGTTCCCTCATTTGCTCTGTCCGGCCATCACCAGAGAATCCTCCTGCTTGTTTTGCCAAATACCAGCATCTCCAAAAGCTCTCGACTGAGTAGAGAGGAATGTGAATTGCTATGCAAACTATGGCAGGGGTCCCCAACCTAGTGGGCCATGGGGGATTTACAACCGAGCCACAGAGACAGCTGGCAAGCGTGCGCGTATCCTCACTTGCACGGGCAGCAGACGAGTGCCCTCACGCGTGCCCCCTTCAAAGCGAGCGGCAGGGGCGTGTGCACGCCCCACATGCAAGTGGAGCCGCGCACGCGTGCTGGCTGGCCATTCGTGCGGAACCATCCCTTCCCCGCCCCGCTGGTCCGCCAAGCCAGAAACCTTGGGGAACTCTGACCTATGGATTTCAAGGCAGATCTCCAACTCCCTGGAGAAAGCTTGTTTTTCATCAGGGGTTCGGAGGCGTCTTCTCTGTTCACTCCCCCTCCCCCCGGAAAAAACAGCAACACCACAACCTGAGCATTACATCCCTCACTTCAGGTCTCTGGGATCACAACTCCTTTTTTTTTTTTTTAGCCATTTTCCGAATCGTTTCACTGACTTTGGTTTGGGAACCTACACGGTGGTCCGTAGTCAAGGCCAGCCCTGCTGTATGCCTGGGCAAGGGATGGGTACGCCTTCCCAGCTAGAAGGTCCTACTTAGCTAGCTGCTACCAGCAGGCCATGCGCCCAGGAGCTCCACTCTGTCCCTGGGCTGAGCCTGTGCATCTATGGCCATGCCCATCTCCCTCCCTCCCTTTCAAGACCCATCAGCCTCTCCTCCAGCACCTACCGGGGATGAGGGCATCCTTGCGGCAGTCGTACAGCATCCCCAGTTTGAAGGGGCGACCCAGGGCTGGGGTCTCAATGGCATCGTCCGTCTGGGCCATGCTCGGCTCCTGTGGGTCGCTGACTCTTCTGCCGTCCTGCAAGAGAGAAGAACCATCCAGAGGAGGCCGCGACCGACCGATGTCTCTCACGAGTTGTGCTGGGGTCACTTCACGCCCCTTCCCGAAGCCCCTTCCCCAGGTTTGTCCCCCCCCCTCTCCAACATCAGAAAGCCATTTCATGAAAGGTCATTGGATACACTTCCCAAAGACCACCCCTGTAAAGGCTTTGGGGAAGGGGATTCATGTCAGGGAATTGCGCCGCCGGTGTCCAAATGTGTTGGAAATCATTGTTTGGGTGCACTTTGTGCAATAACTGCAGTAGTATTCAACCAGTAGGTGGCATTGTTAACAAGTTTGGATCTATGGTATAGGTCAGCGGTAGGCAACCTCGGCTCTTTTATGACTCATGGACTTCAACTCCCAGAATTCCTGAGTTGGCTATGCTGACTCAGGAATTCTGGGAGTTGAAGTCCATGAGTCATAAAAGAGCCGAGGTTGCCTACCCCTGGTATAGGTTCTCCTGCTTGAGCAGGGGGCTGGACTAGAAGATCTTCAAGGTCCCTTCCAGCTCAATTCTAATTCCTCCTCCTCCTTCCCTCCTCTTCCCCCTCCTCCTCCTCCTCCTCACCTTTTCAGGCCTCCAAGTAGGACAGAGGCAAGTGACTACATCACTCCATTGACTGAGCCCGACTTGAGTCACAGCAGCGCATCGGAATTGGTACTGGAGATTTAGGCGGACGTCTTCCAGGGTGAATTGATCCTGAGGGCTTTCGGTATGGAGACTTTTCCAATTTTCCTCTCCTGCGATCCGATATTCCACCTGGTACTTAGAGACTGAAGACTTTCCAACGGCGACTGGATCAATACTGATCTGGAAACTATTTGGCTGGACTGGTTCAACCTTAAGAGAGGGAGGTCTTCTAAGAGCAGCTTCCCGCTCCTGACGTTCCTTGAGGACCTTCACGGTCAAGGCTAAACTTTTCCTTTCCAGCCTCTTTAACGAGTCAAATAAGTTCTTCATGCTCTCGGTGCTCATTTTCCAGAAGGTTTCAGCAGCAGCATTA